TTGTTTTTATAAGCTTTGGGTTTATAATCTTTTCTAAACTGGACACCCACACAGAAGAGCAAGGAAAAGACAGATTTGTCTTTCTTCTTTGTAATCTGATCTTTTTCTTTTTTACAATGAACAGACAGACTTTATCATTAGAAAATACAACAAAAGCTATTGCCATTGTAAAACAACAAATCCCGATAGTTACGTATTTTGTACATAAATCTTTGAATTTCTCAGCAATTTGTCAGGGTCTCGAGGCCCTGAAGACTCCACAGGACCCGGGTGCTGACGAGAGTCCTGCCAGCGTATCCAGGGAGCGCTTGCCGCAGCACAGACCACATTCCAGCAAAGGCTGGTGCCAGTCTGAAGCCAAAACGCCACATCTCACTGTTTTAGTGTATTTTAAAAATTAATGAAATAGAAAATGCTTTATGTATTTTCAAGCAACTGTTACTTCTTACTCTGTGACTTGCCTGTTCATGCTCCACCCCATTTTTTTTTTTTTTAGGATTTTATTTATTTTAGAGAGAGACGCAGCAAGCGAGTGAGCACAAGCAGGGGGAAGGGCAGAGGCAGAGGCAGAGAGAGAATCCAAGTAGACTTCCTGCCGAGTATGGAGTCCGCATGGGGCTTGATCCCACAACCTGTGAGATCAGGACCTGAGCTGAAATCAGGAGTTAGACGCTTAACCAACTGAGCCACCTGGGTGCCCCTCTACCCTCCTGTTTTCCAGTGGCACCTCTGGATGAGCTGTGTTTAATATATGGATATTAACCTTTAGTTCACATATTTCCACAAGCATGTTTTCCAGTGGTATCTACAGTTGGTCTCTGTCCAACTAACCCACTTCCCCTCGAAGTTCCTTCCTCTTACTAAGCCTCATGTGTGCCGGGCACTGTTCTAGGGGCCAGGATGTAAGGGTGAGCAAATAGATTCCTCTGCCCTCACGAAGCTTACACACCGCAGTCGGTGAGTGAGACAGAAAAATGAAAGTAAGTAAAGAGACAGGACTTCTACTTCGAGGGAGGAAGTAATTGGAGCTGGACTTGCCCTTCTGTAATAGGCTAGAAAACAGGAGAAATCCCTTGAAACTGTGGTTTGCGTACGTTGGACAAGGGGCGACCCACGACAGGGACTCCCGAGAGCAGGAAAACAAGGGAGGGGGGCTCTGTGCCCATCGGGCCTTCTTGCTGGAGGCCCTCTGTGCACCACAGGGGAGCCCGAGCACAGCCTGCTGGCCACTCTGAGTTGAGGCAGGGACTGTAGTGTGGAGAGGCAGAAGTAGCTGGAGTTCCTGGAGAGGAGTGAGCTATGTAGGGAAAAAAGCTTCAGAGGTGCACCTAGTGTGCCCTGGAATCTTGGACTGAAAGCTGAGTGCGGATTGGCCCAGGAGCAGCCGCCAGAGGCCATGAACCGGACAAGGCCCGAGCTCATGCAGGGAAAGGACATGTTCGTGCTCCCACCAACCAGAGGCAGAGACCTCACTAAATGCCTGGGGCATTCACTAGATGCCCAGGATGGATCACAGCCTGGAAACAGAGCAGAGAAGCCTTCGAGGACAGGCTTCTTAGACTCACACTAATAAAGCTGCAAACAAGTCTCAAAAGGATCAAGGGGTGACTCAACCGTCTGCCAGATAAAAAGTACGATATACTTTAAAGGAAAACAACAAAAATCCAGAGAGTCAATAACTGAACATCTCTCTTTTTTAAGATATTTTATTTTTATGTAATCTCTACGCTCAACATGGGGCTTGAACTCACAACTCCGAGATGAGAGTCGCGCCAGCCAGGCGTCCCCAATAACTTATAATCCTAATGGCCAACAGCAAATACAAAAATTACGAGCCATGTGAAAAAGAAAGGCTTTAAGGGAAACACACAGGTAAGGAGAGAAACAGAATCTACAAAAAGAGAACCAAATTTTTTTAGAGTTGAAAAATACAACATCTGAGAGAGAAAGCTGAGTATGTGAGCTTAACAGCACGTGAACACTGCAGAATAGAAGATCATGACGTCTGACACGAGAGCAGAAGTCATACAAATGGGAGCGCGCAACATAACAGCCGGCAGCCCCACTGCCAAGCGCTGGACAACATACGCGTCACTGGGAGTTCTAGGAAGAAACTGGGGGAAGAAGGGGCAGAAAAATTTTTTGAGGAAATTATTTTCAAAAGTTTTCTGCATTTGACTTTGAAAACTATACATTCAGAGACCCAAAAAGCTCAATGGCACATGACATGCAAGTGGCAAGAAGGACAAGTGATAAAAGGAACATAAAATAGCAGCTGGAGGGAGAAAGACGCATTGCACACAAGGGAACAAGGACAAAAATGACGAACCACTTCCCATCAGAAACAGCTCAAAATGGGGCCCCTGGGGCGAGTTCACGGTGAGGAAGGGCGCCCCCAGGCACGTGTGTGTTAACACTGCCCTTCAAGAATGAAAGCAAAGCAAAGCGGCTTCTCCAGATCAATCAAAGCTGGAAGAACTGGCTCACAGCATATGCTGCACAATAAAATGCTAAAATTCTTCAGGTGGGAGGGAAACGCTACAGTGCAAACTGTACAGAAGACTAAAACATGCCAGAAATAGTAAAACAAGTGGGTTTTCTTGTTACTAAATTTCCTTTGGGGTGTCTGGGGGGCTGAGTCCATTAAGCATCTGACTCTTGGTTTCGGTTCAGGTCATGATCTCAGGGTCGTGAGATCGAGCCCTGAGTCGGGCTCCGCACTGAGCGTGGAGCCTGCCTGGGATTCTCCCTCTCCCTCTGCCCTTCCCCACCCACATGCACGCTCTCTAAAAAAAAAAATTTAATTTCCTTAAAAGATAACTGATATGGCGACGTATCATGGGGTTTATAACCTACTAAAAGTAAAACATAAGCCAATATTAGCTGCTGGAGAGGAAAGGAAGCGTGCTCCTGGAAGGGCCTTACGTTATATGTGATGTGCTGTAATATTACTTGAAGGCAGACTGCGGTTACTTAAAAATATACTTTGTGATTCCTAGAATAGTCACCAAAAGTCAAGCACGCAGAATATAAGCAAATATGTCAACAGTGGAAATAAAATGGACTATCCCCAAAACAACACCCTTTTTCCCAATCTAAAAAGGCAGGAAAAGAGAGATAAAGGAACAAATAAAAAACAAATAGCAAGATGGCAGATATAAACCCAACCATGACACAGAATGCAAGTAAATGTAATTGTATTAAATATAAGTAGGGTAAACACCTCGCTTGAAGGCAGAGATGGGTCAGACTGGATAAAAAGGCAAAACTCCTGTGTTGTTTATGAGAGATACCTTTTACTTATTATGAATGAAGACAGGTTGAGTAACTGGATGGAGAAAGATACCCATGGAAATAGTAATCAGGAGAAAGAGTAGCCAGATTAACACAGGGACGTAGGCCTCAGAACAAAAACAGAGGGCAGTGAAGAAAAGGGACATTCCATATGATGAAAAGATAATGCTTCAAAAAGATATTACAATCCTACATGTCTATGCAACTAATAAAAACCTTCAAGATACAAGAAGCAAAAGCTGATGGAGCTGACAGGAGAAAGCAAATCCACAGGTATGGCTGGGATATTTCAACATCCTTCTGTTGGTAATTGGCAGAACAAATAGAACATCAAAAAACACAGAATTTGGGTGATTAAAAATTTATGAGGACTGGCTTCCCATTTCTCCTTCAGAGACTAGCTAACAGCTAAGCACACCCCATACGAGCACAGAAGGGTTTGAGAGCTCCTGGTTTGCAACCTCCCCTCCTGGAACGCACAATCCTACCTGCTTCACAGGGTTGCCGTGATCCGGAGACCAGAAGAGAGAGCTCCAGGTTCGAGCAACTGCCAGCCTGCCTGCCTCCCTGAAGGCCGGGGTGCCCTGCCGGGCCCTACCTGTGGTCTCAGCACCCCATGTCCCATACTCTTGTCCCTTGGCCAGGCACGGAGAAGGAATCACACGTTTAAGATGGCTTCGGGATCAGCTGGTGTCCTTGTCACCCAGGCCCTCTGCCCCTGGGTTCCTCATTTGTCAGTGGGTTTCTCTGTGGGGTTCCCTGGCCTCTTCAAGCCAAACCCTTGCTCTGGTCCAAGCAGCCTATCCCCAGCTGCACCTTCCTGCAGGGGTGGGCCGCACACTAGACCCACCGGGCTTATGGTGGCTCGCTGGTGCCCCTGGCCCAAGACCCTTTTCTCTCCTACCTCTCTAATTCTGGGTCTGGTGTCCTCAGATTTGCTCTGGCATCACAACCTGACACTACCTAAGACCCAATGCTATTAACAAAGGGCTGGGGACATTTTCACAGCAGGTGACCTGTTGATATTTTAAGATGAGGAAAGAAAACCATACAGGATGCGAGCAGGGTCAGCAGCCTGCCTAGACGAGGACGGATCCCGCCTTAGATTCAGCATGAATCCTGGTCAGATGGAGCACATCCCGGACAACACTCAGCTCACAGCATCACAGGGTCAGAGTGTGCAGGGATCCCTGCGGGGCCGCCAGCCTGGGGACGGGCAGCACACATGCCCATGGGATCTGATGCGGAGGGTCTCAGTTCAGGGATCATTCTGCAATGCTTTTAGTGGAGTCAAGAAGTTAAGACTTCCTACATCCTGTTTCTCTTCCTATTGCTTCTTATTGGCTCTGCGACACGACTCCCCAAAACCACACATCAGAGAAGACTCGGTGGAGTCCAGGAGGACGGACTGCACAAACCCAGCCGAATTCTACTTCTGTGGGGCATGTCCACACTGAATGCACGAGCTCCTGGGCTGGGTTTGGCAATTCCAGGGTCTCCCCATCTGGAGTAAAGTGGGGCCTGAGATTTTGCTCCTGGGTGACGCCGACGCACAGACAAAGCCAACACCAAACTCCGAGACGGTGCCCGCCCACCTCACCCTCCCGGGGGCTCCAGGCTGGCGCCCCCTGCCCTTGCTCACGGCACCCTGCTCCGAGGCACCATTTCAGCAGAAGCAACATCCACCCCAGCATGTATCCACTTACCCAGAATTCCTGCAGCTCTGTTAGATGGCTGATGTTCTCAATCTTTTTGATTCTATTTGATGCAATGTCCAACATTGTGAGTTTGTTCTAAAACAAGGAGATAAGATTTTTCCTGAATTACCCCAGTTCAACAATGACTGTGTGACCACACACATGGTGTCGGGGGCCAAGCTGAGAGCTGTGGGGCAAGCCACCCTCTCCACCCTCGTGGCACAGGAGCGTGCTAACAGGATGGTGATGCAGCCCCCCCCCCCCCCCGGCCCCGCCATTTCACTCACACACAGAACCCTCACAGCTACTGCATGGAACGCTCATTACCACTGACACCTGATGCTCCCAGCCCTGGACTCCCGGATCCCTGTGCACCAGGGTCCCCATCCTGGTGAGATGTGTGGTCCCAGAAGAGCAGAGTGACACCTCCCTGGGAGCAGGGCAGGCCTGGGGCTCAGGGCGGGGGGGGGTGCTCCATTGCGTGGGGGCTTCTGGGTGGGCTCTGAAGAAGGGGGTGACACTTGCAGCCACATCTATTCAGTCTATTTTGAGGACATGCACAATACTTCAAAAATCCTCAAAACAGTATTTTTGTCTTCACTTAAAGAGATGAGGAGCCCAGGGCTCGCCAAGGGAGGAAACCGCCCAGGTACAAGCAGAGGTGGCAGAGGGGGCACTGGTGGCCCCAGCCCGTGCTCCCGGAGGACCCCCTTCTTCTGGGAAGAGGCCACCAGGACGAAGGGGCAGAGAGGAAAGCCCGGTGCTGAGGGACAGCGGGTCGAGCGCCGGCCTGGGATTTACAGCTGATAGAAGAGAGCAGAATGAGTGCTCGGCCCTACTGAGGACAGTGTCCGGAGCGACTGAGCACCCTCTACAGAGGCCAGACGCTGTGTCTCCTGCTTCTAGCGTGTGCCCCACCATCCCCTTCCTAAGAACGCTCAGCAGACACTGTCAGCTGAGCCTGGGGAGTAATTTTTTAAAGCTCGGTTTCAAGATTTAACAGAGTTGAATAACACTGTAGTAAAAATGAAGTCTGTTAAAGCTTGCATTGCTTGCTGAACCAGGTTTAATCAAACCAACCGACAAATTTTTCTAAAATCAAAAGGGAGGGGCGCCTGGGTGGCTCAGTCGTTGGGCGTCTGCCTTCGGCTCAGGTCATGGTCCCAGGGTCCTGGGATCGAGCCCCACATCGGGCTCCCTGCTCGGCGGGAAGCCTGCTTCTCTCCCTCTCCCACTCCCCCTGCTTGTGTTCCCTCTCTCGCTGTGTCTCTGTCAAATAAATAATTAAAATCTTAAAAAAAAAAAGGGAAACATTTAGAAGTTGGTTGACGGCCACCGATAAGCGTTCATCCCTTCTTCTCTACCCATTTCTGACTGTAGATCCCTTCTTACATTTTCTGCTGCATTCGTGGGATTCTGATTTCAAATCCTCCTTAGAACCCTAAGTTCTAAGGGAAAGTTAACAATTGTCTCAATAAAGTAAGAACAAATCCATGAACACACACATCAGCCCGCAGGCGGCGCCGTCCTGACTCAGAAGGGCTCTGGCCCTGGTCTCTGACTCCTCGAGGGTCCACCCGTGCCTGTCCCCTCTGCCCCTGCAATGTCACCCAGCAAGAGCGCTGGCCAGTCACCCTCCAGGACGCCGCAGGGTCCACGCCGTGTCACGTGGCAGCTGGGTGAGGAGCTCCTCCGAGTAGCTTGTGTGGGGCCTGTCATGCGCGCTCAGACTGCTGTGTGAGAGTGCAGCGTGACAGGAGCCTCCCGCCTGGGGGGCTGGCGGGGCTGCGGCCGACAGGGACTTCGGGGAACTTGGCAGGAGAGGGCGGGCAGCAGGCAGTGCCAGGCTGGGGCCGCCACCGCAGCGATCTCCAGCCCCCCGAGCCCATCCTGCGGTGCTTGGTGTCATCGGATGAGCGTGCTTCGATCGTGCTGCGGGCCCCGTGCGAACGCTCAGCACCGGGGCATTGTGGCTGACAGGACTGGTCCTGGGCCTCTGAGCACAGGGACTCAGTTATGTGCTCAACACGGTCTTGTTGTTTTGGGCGGAGCCGGACAGGGTTTTGAAAGCTCATCCAAAAGCAAACCAGTAGGGAATTGCTTTAAAAAAAGAGGAGGAACCGGGCGGGGCGGGGAGCAAGCACAGCAGACGGGGCGTCCACCGTGCAGTGGCACGCCGCAGACGACTGTGTGCGGGGGGAGGAAGCCTCGGTGGGCAGCGGGGGGCGACGGGGAGGGAAGCTGGCATCGCCAGTGGTGCTGGGACAGGGGATTTGCCACTTGGGAAAAACATACATTTACCATTTACTTCCTTATCTCCCAGAACAAAAATAAATTCCAGATCAATTAAGAGAGGAAACTTAAATGAACATTTGATCTCCAACTGAACGAAGCCCTGAGGAGACTGTCACGTTGGACCAATGATAAGTGTTCTAGTAACATAATTACCTTTAAAGCCACAACTGCCTTTTCCTTTTTTCCTTTTTTTTTTTCTGTTTTGTTCAGAGGCCCAACAATGATCTGGAGTTGAACCCAGACCACAGCGTAGCACGGCTACCGGAAAATTCTACATTCTCACTTCTTTCCTATTTGCTGGGGACCTGCGCTCAGTCGCCTGTACTGCAGACACTATTCTCCTCCGACCCTGGGGGGCATGGGGTGGGGGGACCCACAGTTTGCCACGGGCGTGGGCCCCTCAGGCTGGACATGTGCACGCCCTGCCAACTGCGCTCTCAGGGCCTCCGTAGAGTCCGGCCTCTCACAACCCTGCCTCCACCCACCGCTCTGCACTGCCCAAGTGCGCCCGGCGGATACGCCAGTCTGGTAAGCTCTCAACCGGACTGCAAGGTGAAGGAAGGAGACCACACTTACCACGGGCCCAATTCTCACTCCTCGAAAATTCTAGTTAGTGGTAAAATGAAATTCAGAACATGGTTTTCCCTCTAAAACATTACTAACAGTGACTAGACCCAGGGGCTGAGGCACAGAGGCCAAAGGAGCCTCTACTAAGACTGAAGTGCTAAGTTTACAATAACCAAAGTAACCAAATCGTTACCTTTGCTGGCAATAAACAAAACAGAAAAAAAAAACCCCAGTAAAATTGAATGAGAGAAAGTCTTTTATTTGTCTTGAATACTGCAGGGAGGAAAAATAGGCTTGCCAACAGGCAGCTGAGTGCCGCCTGCCCTCCCCGCTCAGCGCATCTAAGACTGTCCTGTGCGGGGCAGGAGCAGGACTGTCCCTGGGAGGTGGACAGGCCCTTCTCAACCCTGCGAGGGCGGCTGAAAAGCAGGGAGGAGGAGGAAGGTGCGGGGACTCAGTTCAAAGCTGAGGTCCCATGGCCCCTGTGGTCTGGAAAGCAGTGGGGCAGGAAGTACAGTGGGCAGGATGGGGAGGGAGGGAGAGCCGCTGCCACCTGCCAGCCCTCTGCAGGCGAGGACACCTGGGGAAAGGCCGTGGTGCCGCTGCAGACCGCACAGTGCACCCTGCCCCGGAGGTCCCGGTGCTGACCGCAGCGTGCAGCACCAGCACCACACGCCTTCGCGGGGAGAGGGAAGACTGCACGAGCTTCATGTGCATCCCAGTGTGCGCGGGGACGGTCTCGACCATACACCTCGAGAGGCAACGAGTCTTCTTCAAACCAGGCCTAACCCGCACCGCCCCGGCCAGACGCGCAGACGTCTTACATTGTTCTCCAGGCCCTCGATGACCTCGATGCCGTTGTGGCTCAGGTACAGCTCTCGAAGGTTCACCAGGCTCTGCAGACCCTCCATCTTGGTCAGCCGGTTGCTCTGCGAGAGGGAGGGCCAACAGCCATCAGAACAGCACAGAGGGGGGAGACAAAATGGCTTTTAGAGGAGGATACCTCTTGCCCAGAAGAGGCCTAACACTGGCCCTGCACTCCCAGTGTGCCGGAAGGGACCTTGCCGGAGAGAGAGCTCAAGATTCTGAGTCTGCTGCACTGGCTAAAACGCATGTGTGAGAGTTAGAGGCTTTTAGGTAAAGAACACTTCTTTAGATGTGCTTAGGGAAGGTCTACCCCCATAACTTAGCAATTCAAAAAGGTCAAATCCACTGAATATTTTAAAATAAATTACTTATTTCTTTTAACATACATTGTAACTCAGAGCATACAGTCCTTTTTAAAAAGAGAGTCTGCATAATGTTTGCTTTATGAAAGGCACAAGTGATCTGGGGAGACCTGCCACGCCTAGCACGCGCCACCACGCCTTGCCTCAAGGGCCTGGTTCCACCCATCTGCTTCCAGCACAAAAGGCGGTGTGAACCCAGGCATACTCAGGTGCTTGCCTACTCGCAAACACAGGGCTCTGCTCTCCGTGAGGGCATGGAAGCTTCCACCCCTGAGTCAGACACTTCAGGAGGCCTTGGCACAAGCTCAACCCTCTTAAAGACGACCCTGTGGCTAGAAACCACCCAGGGAAGGAAATTTTATGTGTATGGACGCATAAGTCTTTGAAACCTGGCATTTCAATTGCTCCCTGCTGGTGAAGGGAGCACTGATCATGGACATGGGGAAAGACAAACATGCAGGGTGTTGGGCAGTCCCGCCCCGGCTGGGGCTTGGCCAGATGGACATAAAGGCAGGTCGGTACCTGCATACTGAGCACTGTCAAGTTGGTAAGTGCATCCAGGTTCTGAAGTTTAGTGATCTTGTTTTTCCCCAAAAACAAACTCTCCAGACTGGTTAACGTGTCAATATTTTCAATTGCCTGTGAAAAAGACAGGGTAGCAGTTAACACTGTGTGGCCCACCAGCTAGACCAGGGTAGGCAAGGGGCCCGGGCGAGGAGACACAGCTGTTCGGACTGCAGCCCTGGGATGTGGGCCAGTTACTTGTCCACTCTGGAAATTCTCCAGTGAAATCTCACTTAAGAGGTGGATAGTCCAAGGCCTTGTCTCCTAGGCTCACCCCCAACCCTCACAGAGCTCGAGGTCAGGGGACATCCACAGATGAGCAGTCCCCTACCAGCTAAAGTTCTGAGTTGACACGTTATCATGTAATTCCACGTAGGGTTCGTTAAAATGCATTCTAAGAGCCTAGGTCTCCCCAGAAGCAGCTGTGACCTCAGGACGCCACCCGGGATTCCTGGGAGCAGGCGCCCCCATTCCATGGCTCTCTGTCCCCCATCTCAGGACCTACCACCCTCCCTCCTTGCCAGGATCGTGTGCTCCTCTAGTCAACTGTCAATACCAGTGCCGGGCGGAGAGCAGGGGGTCTAGGACATGCTGACTCGACCTGCTTCCCTCCTGAGTTTGCTGCTGCCTCTCAGCAAGCTGTCAGCTTTTGTAGCACACACCGACCCACCAGCAGGTGCCGAAGGCAGGTGCATCCCACCTTGCACATCACAGCAGGATTGAGGATTCAGGGGGAGGGCATCCTTAACTGCTATTAGCTATGCTGATTTGTGATGAACCACCTTCCTCCTAGAAACACCGCAGAGAGAGACACTTGATAAAATGCCGACATCTGGGCCACTCTTCACTCTCTAGTTTTAAATGTGTTACTTTGCTACAGGGGCCATGTGACTGCTCACAACTGTCCCAAGAGGCCGTCCTGGGTTTGCATCCTGCCCAGCTCTCAAGGGCCAAGCTGGCTGATGGCAGGGTGCTGTGAACAATCAACAGCCAGATGGAGGCTGTTCGCACCACAGAGGTGGGGGAAGTGGTGCTTGGACCACTGGCTTCACTGGGACGGCAGGTGGGCATCGAGTGGTCTTCTGGCTAGCAGATACCCTCATTACTGTTCTGCTGGCCCTTCCTCCCCTTTGCCGGCAAACCGCCGTGGCCACTCTCCCCACCCCGATGTCTGTCCTTCTGTGACCCCATCTGCGTTTCTCACCACGGGTTCTGCTCGGCAGCTATCGTCAGACGGGTAAAGGGTGGCTCCTATGGACACCAAACCTCTTTCCCAAAGCCTCTTCTGTCTACTCTGCCCAGTGCTCCCCGAGGCCGGGTCCGACAGAGCGTGGCAGGATGTCAGGTTGCTGTGGGGCGTATCCCAGTTGCACGAAGCCGTCCAGGGTGGATGGGCCAACCGTGCACCAAGCTGCAACATGCTTCCTACGGCCCCTGTGTGGAAGCCGGGTCGCTACAAGCCACCACTCTGCTGTGTCTGGGACACTGTCATCTCAGAGAGGTTCACCAAAGAACACAACCCTCAGCATATGTAAAACCAAAGTGCTTCACTCGGGCAGAATGCAGCTGGGATGCTTTGCTAAGGTTTAGGTTGTGATCTGGATGAAGAGCAAGTAAAATTTATGTGCAGAAAATGGGCTGGACCACAGAGTTTGAGCACATCTTCTTATTAACACTGACCTGCAGTTAGCATTCTCTTCCTGGAAAATAAAATCACACCATAGGAACACTTAGCCAAGCACACACCTAGCGCCCATCACCGCCAGTCCCAGAGGCCAGACCCCTGGCCATGCAGCCGTACCTACCCGGATGCGGTTGGACCCCAGCTCCAGCATCTGCAGCTGGTGTAAGTTGCTTATGTTCTCAATTTTACTGATTTTATTGTTAACCAGGAAGAGCTTCTTCAGTCGCGTCAGCTTTTCAACTCCTTCAATGTTTCTCAGCAGATTGAAAGAAATATCTAGAATCCTGAGAATAAGCAAAACATTTCATTTTTCAATGAGCACAGGTGGCATGGACCTCAAAATGCAACTAAGCTGGAGGCAGCCCCCCCCCACCAGGTGGGCCACATACCACCCCAGCTGCCCGCCAGGCTCTCAGCACTGCGTCGAGGATGAAAATCGTGCCGGCCCTGGACCGGACCCGTCAATGCCACCCATGGAGCCGGGTGCTGGGCAGGACCCTGTGGCAGAGGTGGCCCCCCAGGGCTGGGAGCCGGGGCCCAGGCTTGGTTCTGGGGAGACTGAACAAGCCCCTCAGCCGTCCCCCAGACTCATGACTCACTCCAACTGTGTTAGCGCCTCCAGATTCTCAATCTTCTTGATCTGGTTGTCATAAAGATCCAGCTCTCGCAGACTCTGTAGCTCCTCCAGATTTTCAATGCATTTAATTAAATTCTGACGGAGGCAGAGAGTCTGAGGGATGAAAAAGGACAGCTGACACAGGCAACGGGGAGGCCCTGAGATGCCAGCTGTGTTACAGGACCGGCCTCCCGGGGCGGGGGGGAGGTTCTCAACCTCCTGCTGTCTTCTAGAAACGTGCTGACCTTGGAGAGGATGGGCAGACACCCAAAGGGAGGCTGGAGGCAGGCCTCGCACTGAGCAGACCTCCGTGCTGAGGGAGGCATTGGTCAGGGTTGAGGGTGTGTGCTGTTTCCCAGCAGAGCAAACTGCTAGTGGGCTCAATTCTGAACAAATTTAACTGCCACGAGGTAAGGACTACACAGTCCGGGGTGTGCTTGACTGTAGGCAGGCTCTGCACTGGGTCATCGGCTGGCCTTGGGGAGCGCCCACTGGCCTCCTGGACTGTGCTGTAAACCTAAGCGTGTTTAGGATAAAAAGTGCCGAGAGCAGCTTGGGACACAGGCCAGCAGCTTCTGCAGAACCGGCCCTCCGCTGCCGGGGGGATGGGCTCTGGGGTGTCAGCACCCCTCCAGAGGAGGACAGAGTCGCCCTCACCTTCACTTTCTTCAGCACCTCGAACCCCTCAATCTTCCCGATGCGGTAGTGATTCAGATCAACATCCTGAAATGAAGAAGAAATCCAGCTGCAGAGAAGCGTCTGAAGACCTGCTTCCTGGAGCAGGAGTGGAGGGGGGCCGGCGAGGTGGGTGCAGGGGAGGGTGAAGAGACACCAGCGAGCCTGCAGACAGGTGACAGTGACACAGAGGACGGCTGCAAGATGCTTGCTGGCAGTTTGACATAAAAATGAGCAGTGCGTAAAGCCTCTTGCCCCACAGCCCCCTGAGCCCAAACACAGGCCTAGGCGCCCGCTGTCAGCTGCGGACTTGGGGTGGGGGGTGGGGGTGGGGCACCAGGGTGATGCTTCCTGGTGGTCTCCCGCCTGCCTGGAGCTGCCAGTGTTCAGTGCGCATCAGATGCTGGGGAGGTCGAGGCCCTGCCACGGACAAAGTAATCACCTGACCCCCTCGTGTCACTTAGGTGACAAGGGCGGTTCATCGGCCACCCAACCCTCTGGTTACACAGGGCTGGGGTTTTAGTCACTGGTATTAGAAACAAGCAGGACACAAGGAGTCTGACCCAACCAAGCAGGGCTCAGATGACCTCGCCTAGGAAATCACTTACTAATCTGGCACCTCCGTAAAAGATACCCTCACAGTCAGAGTGGTCCATCACCATGCCCCCCGCGGCTGCGTCCAGCAGGTAGCATTACCTCTGCATCTCTGTCCAAGTTGATGGTTTCCATATCCACAGGCAGCTCTTGTCCTTCTGAAAAAATGAGAAGGAAAAACAAAGCCCATTCAGAGCCTTAGTGTCCGTGGCACTGGGACTTGGGCTGCCTGGCTCAGTGCTAAGTCATGCACAGCAGAAGCCACGCGGCGGCACACGGAGGCTCCGGATGGCACGGCAGGGTTAACGCCCTGCTCGTCACGGGTCACCTTTCAAGCATTCAGATGTTCCTGAACTCGGCTCCTGGCAAAGGTCTCCAAACTTCCATCTGTGCCACTGAACTTGCCAGGAAAGGAAATGTAGCCTGCAGCTGTTTGCAGGAAGGAGGGGGTTGGCCGATGGAGCCTCAGGTGAGCCCAGTCAGCAGTAGGGGATCCGCCCAGAGCTGCCCAGCTGGCAGCGGCCTGCCCTCTCCTTTCTTGTCTGTGGCAAATCAATCAGACCATCTGAATATAGCTCCTGCTGGGCATGTCAGATGTTCTAGGATGTGCCTTTTATTGCTTTGGAAAGTGGCCTCGTTGTCTATAAACACTTATCTCTGCAAAGAGGAAACCAAAACAAAGCACAGCTCGACAGAGGGACTGGAGAGCCCTGACCGATTTAAACACACTTCTCCCCTGGAGGCACGAGCTAATTCCAGTAGAGGCTCCCCTGCCCCAGTGCCGGGGGAGAGCTGTGAGATGCGCTCAGGCTGCGGAGCTAACGGCCTGGAATCAGTTGCTTCCTGGTCTTCGTTTCCCCTGAGCTGATGGAAGTGTGTGTGTCTAAAAACAGCTCAATGCTTTAAGAAAGTGTAACAGTGATTCTTGGATTTCATCAACTGTCTGACGATTTCTCCCCTCAGTCTGCTTGTGTTAGGATCTGAAGGAGGTCATCTATTGTGACTGGATGACATTTCTCTAATGTCCCTTTTGGCTCTCTGAGGAAACTGGGCCGCCTGGCTTGCCACACTTCTGGGGAGCATGTGGTTCCTGCTCTCCTGGAAACCCGCTGTCCCCACGGCTACTTTTACCTGGCTCCTACTGCTACCCCTCGCCTACAGCAAAGCTGCATCTGCTTCTGCTGTGGAACGGGCCTGCAGCCCTCAGACCTCACGCTCCCGGTGCCTCCCGACGACAGGGGTCCGCTCCGTCTGCTGGCCAGCCTGGCCCCTCGACTGGAGGCTGTAGAGAGGTGCACTTAACAGCGGACGGACCAGCTTAACAAAGCAGCACTGGCTGGTGCTGGCTGAATTCAGTCTCCTCACTACACCTTCTCCATAACAATCAACAATGGCTAGGCAACAAAATATGTCACTTACTCTAGTTTATTATTTACTAGAATTATTTGCTCTAACTTTACGAGGTATCAACCTACCTAGGAATGAAATAAAAGGAGCTAGGCAAAACCAAGAGATATACCCAAATTACTCCTCACCCCCAGACACACAAGTCCAAGGTCCATGAACTCTGGAAGCTGCGATGAGAGAGGCAGCACAATGAAGGCAAGTGTCTAGGCCACACAGCGTCCAGACCAGGGCACCGTGGGAGTGCAAGTCAAGGCGCCACTGCAGACAGTCGAGCATGGCCGGTGCGTAGAAACCAGGCCTGGGCTCCTGAGGACAGGCGGTCACACAGCTTAATGTGGCTGTGTCTGTAACATGCCTGGCACTCAGGACAGGCCCCTCAAAACAACAGCTTAACCTCTGCAACAGTGGCCAGCCTAGAATGTTTCCCCAAATGTACATGTATTCATCTTTTTTTCTTGTTTTTTAAAATCAGTTATGGAAAATAAGTGAAAGGTAACAGTTGACACGTTTCCATTTTATTTGAACTTAGGACTTTATAAATAAATACAGGTGGGAGCACAGTGAGTCCTGGCTTCTCTCAAGGACTTATAAAACTGCATATTTCCAGAGTGCTTTTTTTTTTAAAGATTTTATTTATTTATTTGAGAGACAGCACGCACAGGAGCAGGGGGGAGGGGCAGAGGGAGAAGCAGGCTTCCTGCTGAGCAGGGAGCCCGATGGGAGACTCAATCCCAGGACTCTGGGATCATGACCTGAGCCGAAGGCAGTGGCATACCGACTGAGCCACCCAGGCGCCCACCCCACTCCCCCCTTTAAGATTTCCCAGAGTGCTTTTAATCAGCTAGTAGTCTGAAAGAACGCTGGATTTGGACAAGCTGGGTTTAAGTCCAGCTGCTCTACTTTGTCACCGTGAGCCCCCGGGCGAGCCACTGGGAGCCTGCGCTCACCACCCAGGAGGAGAAATCCCCAGGACAGGGCCCCACCAACTCTCCAGTCCTCCAAAAGCGCCAGATGTTCAGATGGGAGAGCAGGTGACGCTCCCACCCGCTTGGTCTTTCCGTGACTCAGACATAACGAAAGCTTTCCTCCATCACTCCCATGTACTTATTCCACCCACGCTGCTTCCAGAATATCGACTCTGGAGCTCCAAAGTAAATGTGGCTGATACTTTGTGGTAATCTCCCTTTGCCTTAAAATTAGGTTGCCATAGTTACCAATCATCTTCACTGGCACAGAGCACAATGTAATTTTAAAAATTAGTTTTGTTTTTTTAGAATTTGTGGGTTTTATTACCATAAGGGTAGAGCATGACTATTACTACCTTAAAAATCCATACATCGTGTATGAATCTAGACAATGCAGAAGATACAACATCCTCTCAAACCTGTTATTCAGAGATCTTCAACTGCAGTTTGATGTTAGTTAAGACTTTAAAGTAGGTTAAAACTTACATAAAATTAATAATTCTAACAATAAGACTTTAACATGCATACTGTTTGGAAATGTGCTGTTCTCACCTAATAATGTATCTTGGACTTCTTTCTGTCTGTTCATATGCCCTCTCTCATTCTTTTCAATGTAAATCGATTTTTCTAACCAAACCAATAAGGATCATGGTTGGGGAGGGTGAAAAACCACCATTATGGACTGAGAACTTACTATTCTCATCACTTTTTAATTTTACTTTAAAACTTACTTTTTAATCACTAAAACAATAGGAGGCTGCTGAGATATTTTCTGCATGAAACTATTTTCCTAACATCTTGGCAATTTAGAAGTCAATCCTCAGGCCTCTCATATGGTGAAGCACAACTTAGAAATGACTTCTCTAAAATACTAAAAGTGCTATTCTGAAATTGGTTTACATTACTATGATAGGAAACAAAAGCATCGTCAACGAAAAAAAATTTTTTTTTCAAATCTCGCTTCCTGAATATATGGTTAATAAAATAATTTTCTGGTTCTGTTCCAGATGATACTCCAGCACTAACGTTATTAGTAACATTTGCCTTAGTGGAACTAAAAAAAAAAAAAAAAAAAAAAAATGCATCCTGCTTGCAAGTGCCGTAAACGAGTCAGCTCACGAAGGGAGTGCCTCGGTGGGTGCACTGCTCCGAGAGCACACGGCCACCAGCCCCCACTGGGCCTCTAGTGCTGCATCAGCAGATCAAGAGTCAGCCAAACGAATGCCCTTCTCGCATAGCAGTCCTCCCACTGCCCATAGCAGTCCTCCCACGGCCCTCGCCTCTCCACCACACAAGGAGGTGGGGTGGAGTTGGGCAGATCATATGCAACATGGCCGCACCCTCCCCCTTAGAGAGTTTAAGGCTCTTAACTCGGCCTGGTACCTTCTGGGTCCTCTGCCCCCTGCTCCTCTCCATCCTTTAGGCTGTGCTCACTGAGGTCCGCCACTATACCGCTGCTCTGCTTCTTCCCTTCCTCATCGCCAGACTCTTCAGATTCGACTCGCCTGTCAACTGAGCCCACACACATCAATAAGAATTCACAGCCACTTTATGTGACTCCCTGAAGAACATTTAACAGACGGACATCCAGCTGTAAGTCAAAAAGACTTCATTGAGAAACATTTATTGAAGTCAGCTCAACAAACACGAGTGTCTTTCCTGCTTGGGCACCACCTGAGGTGTACAGTGGTGGGGACAACTTGTGTGGGGGAGGGCAGAGCAGGGAGGACACATGGGTACTAAGATGATTAACATATTCTTCCTGCCCTCAAGGAAATCGTGAAGAATTTCCAGGTGTTATAAAAGCCCTGGATCATCTGTGACCAAGCGTACTCATGGGTGACACAGTGAAGCACCTCCTGTGTGGCTCGCTTTTGGCCTGGACGTCCACGTAGAGGGGACCATTGTGACCCTTCCACCACATACCTTCATCCATGCTCCACTATCCATTTGGCCAAGAAAACCAGCCCAGTTCACAGGCCCACGTTCTGAAAGAAATCAAGACTAACTCAAATCAGACTGTGGGCAGAGGGGGGGCTGTAATGAAAAAGGAGACAGCCAATAGTGCCAAATGCCCCACATAAAGGTCACCGGTGCCACACACCTGCACGCAGCAACACCAGCTTTGAAAGGCTGGTAAATAAGTATTTTTTGAATTAATAAATAAGGCAATGACTAAATATGGCAGAGTGGTAAAAATTCTTTGGTAAGACTGTCAATTATTTTCCTTTTTCCAGCTTTTTTCATGATCTCCCTTGGAAGTCTATCTCGAAGAGCTGAAACGGTAATAAGTTACTGGGAGTTATCAACAATACTGAAAGTATTTTCTTTCCTGACTACAGTTTGTCCACAAAGGGGTGTGCTCTTTGAGGAAAGGAAGTTTTATTTCTTCTTTGTATCCCCTCCTGGGCTGAGAAAAGGAGCACCCAGGGAAGGAGTGCTGGATAAAACCACATCCTTATGAAATCCACCTCCCAAACCTCCAAATCCATTCCTTCTTTCCCACCCTGGCAACTGCCTGGGCTCCTGCCTCGTCTCCTAACTGGTCTCTCTGTGGCTTTTCTGGCTCTGTCTAATCTATTCTGCATGACTAGAGAATCTGATGTGATTCTAAAACCCAAATCTGATCTTTGACTCCAAAAGTTCTTACTTTTATTTTTCTTTTTTTAAAGATTTTATTTATTTATCTGACAGAGAGAGACAGAGAGAGCACAAGCAGGGGGAGTGGCAGCAGGCAGAGGGAAAGGGAGGGGCAGGCTCCTTGCTGTGCAAGAAGCCCGAAAGATGCGGGACTTGATCCCAGAACTCTGGGATCATGACCTGAGCCAAAGGCAGACGCTTAACTGACTGAGCCACTGAGGCGCCCCAACTCAAAAGTTTTTGGAATGCCAGCGACTCCTGCCGAGATTTCGCCTTGCCCATAGAGACACAGGCTGTTTGCTTTTCCAACCCTCACTCTCCTCATCTGTACAAGGGGGCTAGAATAGGACCCAAAGACCAGAGATGCTATCAGGACTAAAGTAGAAAAGGCACAAAAGCAGTCTGCATGTGCATGACATGGAGTAAACACTTGGTAGTTAGTTATTACCAGGCACAGGGCACTCTGTGGCCAAGGCTAAGAGAGAGCAAATTCTACTGGGTGTGGTGTGGCTGGGACTGAGCTAATGAAGGGCAGCCAAAGTGAAATGTGGGACTCTATCCTGAAGGTAGCAGAGGGTCTGGAGCATGAGACAGTAGATCCAAATACAAGGCAACTTTGGGATACTGGGAACAATGGGCTGGCTCCGAGTAGTGGTAGTGGGAAGGAAAGAGGTACTGAAGACCTGTAGGTATGAAGGATACAGAGGCATCAGGTTAACTGGACGGGTGGGAGAGGGAGACAGAGAATCACCTACGTTTTGTATTTGCCATTTACCAAGACATGGAAACAGGTGAAGGAGGAGGAGTAGTCTGGGAGGAGGGGTGTCGAGGAGGGGGGTAGGAAGAGGTGCTTCCTTGCTTAAAAAAGGTCCAAGACCCTTCACCAAGGTCCTCCACGGCCCTCTCCCGCCACCCTCCTCCAACGGGACTGTCGCTCTCGGTCAAATGTTCTTCCAAACAGACCACTTTCTTTCACAGCACTTTGCTTTTGTCTTTCTTAAACTGAAATGATCTTTGATGTTTCTCCAACCTGGTGATTTGTAGTTTTCCTTCAAGGTTCAGCGCAGAGCTGGATTTGGTTGGGCAGCCATCACTCCAAACACAGCAGCTCTTCCTTCGCACCCCACCGCCCACCCTTCTTCCCTAGCACTTTACACATACAGCAGTGGCTTTCTTCTGGGGCTCTGCACCTCCCCCGACCCAGCCCCAACCAGCGGAGACCAAAAGCACGTAAGCACGGGGGACATGACTGACTCTCCAGTTGGCGTGTCTGTATAACTACGTGCAATACAATATGCAGATGACTTTTCTCAACAAAACTAAAGAGCTGAATTTAGTCTTTTCGGAACTATGATAGCTTTGAAAGCAGGCTTCCGCTGTTCAATAATTCAATCTCTCGGCTCCTTCCCACCCCTTCCCCACAACCCATTCGCTTACGAGAGAACCCTTCCCCACCTCCACCATGTTCACCCATGAGCCGCTCTGCGCCTCAGTTTCCCCGATAGCTGCCCGGGGGACAGACCCGGCGGGCCAGGCTCAGAGGTTCGGGGCGAGGCTCCCGCCAGCCTGTGGACACCCGGGCAGCCGGGCCAGCGTCGTCAGTACCCACCTACCCGCCCGCGCCGCGGTTCCCCCCGCGCCTTGGGTTTGGCGCCTCCCGGCCGCCCGCGCCTTCCTGGCCACTGCAGCCTCCGCCCGGGGTCCCCGGGTCCCGGGCCGCCCCTGCCCCACCGAGCCGGCTGGCAACTGTCAGGGCGCGGCGCGGCCCAGGTTACGGCCGGAGGCGGAACGGCCCGTTTCTCTCAGGCAAGGCCGGTGCGGGCCGCCGCCCCCCAGCCCGCTGGGCCCTTGGGCCGCCGCCCCACGGAGCCGCTCACCCTCCATCATCTCCTGCGACTGTTGCTGGCCCGCGCCGCGTTCCGCCGCCATGTTGGCTGCTCTTCCCCTTTCCGGAATCTGTCGCCTCAGGCCCCTCAGCCAATCAGGGCTCCCGACTCCGTGCTGGCTCAGCCAATGGAATCCCACCCCAGGTTTGAACCCCGACGCGTCTGCGCAGCCTCAGCGCCTCATGGGAATTGTAGTTCACCCTCGAGGCCATGCGGTCCTCAGCAGCAGGAGGAGCCAGCCTCACCTCCTCGGGACAGGTAATCTGAGAGCACACCGGAGGCTTCTGGAGGCGAGGAGCGGGGAAGAAGGCAGGGGCGGTCGGGGCCGCACGCACGGAACCGTGGCTGCAGGGGAGCGAAGAATCTGGGAGATGCTGGGGGCACGTGGGCTCGTGGAGGGTCTCGGCGTGGGGCTGCAAGGTGCGGGCCAGTCGAGTGCGTTGGCGGCCCCTCCGGGCCTCGGCGGCTGCGTCTGTACACTGGCCGACTTCGTCCCGACGTCGCCGCGCGGACTTAGCCCGTGAGAAGGGACCGCCTCCGGTTAACGCTCAGCGCTGGGCGTCCGCGCTCGTGCCGGGGTGGGAGCCGAGGCCAGGGGCCGGGGCACCGGGGGGCCAACCCCGTCCGCAGGTGCGGGGACAGCCTATCGGCGTCCAGGACGTCGACCCAGGCCACTGCGGGCCGCAGCCTCCGTCGGCCCCTCGGCCCTGCGGGCGTGCCTGGCCGTGAGGGAGCCTCCTTGCGCCCCCCGCCTTCGAGGCCTCAGAGCGGGGAGCAGCGCGCTGCCCACCCTTCGGGATTCGGAGACCGGAGGAAACGGAGTCGGTCCGACCTGGAGGGCGGAGGCGCCGTCTCTTTTGGTTCCTCCGAGGCGCCGTAAAGGGAGTCCGGTGCGTCCCTAGCAACCGTTTGCGCGGGCTTCTCCGCTAAGGGCTCGCTGAGTCCCGCCCACGGTCGCTAGTGGTTGGCTCGGAGGGCCTGTCAATCGACACGAGTTGTTCTACGATTGGCCGGCGGGCCAGAGGCGAGGATCCGCTCCCTCCCGGCGCGGTGGAGCGAATTTGGCCGGGTGACCCTGGCAGGCCCCGGAGGAGATACCTGCGGTCGGGAGAGCGGGCCCAGGCTCCCGGGGCTCCTGGCGCGGCCGGCGGATGAGCCCCGGCCGAGCCCTGCGCCCCCGCGCTCCCTCCGCGCAGCTCCGGCCGGTGGTGGCTCGCTCGGCGCCCTGGCCGGGGGACCCGAGGGGCACCGGGCCGCCCCTCCGCGCCGGGGCCTAAGCCCCCCGGCGCACCCTCCATCCCGGGGCTGGCCGCGTGCGCTTTTGTTGACGTCCTGTTGCCCGCCGTGTGCGGGAAGGCGCGTGCGGGAGCCCCGGGAGCGCGGCCGGTCCTCTGCGGGTCCCAGCGGCTCCCCGGCGCCGGCAGACCCGTGCGCACGCACCACCGCCGGCCGTCTCCACCGGGCCGCCCCACACATCCCTGGCTTTATCCTCGGGCCGCTCTTCACTGGTTCTTTGCCCGGACAGCGGCGGCGGCCTGAGCGCGGAGCTCGGGAGGCGGTCTTGACAGCCTTCGGTGCCTTCCTCTCCGCACCTCATAGCCCGTGAGTCTGGGTCAGTCCTGTGCCAGGTGGTCTTAGGCGTTGCCCGCTCCGTCCTTCTGCCATTGGTATAACTTAAGGCCTCGGACTTCTTGCCTGCATTGCTGTGGCCTCCCTCCCGCCTCCCCAGGCCCCTGCCCCGTGAGTGACCTTTGTGGGCCGCTATCTGGTCATGTTACTCCCAAGCACAGACCCCTTTAAAGTCGGTCTTTGGGGAGACGTCCAGACTGCCTGGGCAGGCACAGGAGGCCCTGGAGTTAGATCGGGCTTCTTCAGGCCCATGCCCACTTACTCCTCCCGGAGGGTGCCGAGGGAATCTTTGTCTTGGGGTGCCTCTGTCTGCCTGCAAGGCTTCTTCACTCCCCTTTCCGTGCTCGGCTCCACTGGTGCCTCCTCCAGGAAGCCCCTGTTGACCCTTCAGGTCTGGGAAGTGCCCCTTGCTTACATCCTCCATCACAGCAGCCATCATCCTAGATATTCTTTAGGATGCCTGCAGGCGAGAAACAGAAAACACAGTCCCAGAAAGGCTCTGGGGGTGAGTAGTTATTGGCCCCTAAACCAGAAGTGCAGAGCAAGGCAGATTTTAGGGTGGGTTTATCCTCAAAATGACATCCTTGCTGTCTTATGCCCTGCTGTCCACCCTGTTGGCTTCATCCTGAGGCTGGTTCTGCTCCTGGTGGTACAGCAGTGGTGGGAGCAACTGGAGCTCTTTGCTTCCTAGCTTGTGAGAGAAAGATGGTTGCTTCCAGAAGTTCACCCATGAGCTCAGAACACCTTCCCTGAAACTCCCTGCGAATCTCTCCTTCTCTTTGGTCTGAGGGGGGTCACTCATGCCTTCTGAAATCAAAACTAGCAACAGCAATAGGATCACTCTGAGACACCACCAGGTCCTCTCTGGGTTCAACGTCCTATAATCTTCTGCTCGGAACAGGTACAAAAAACCCCAAAACCCAGGAAAACTGTTCTAAAGACTTAGGGCTGGACTGGCAGGAGTTTCTGGTTAGCCTTTGAATTAAACCTGTGAAAAAGGAGTGATCTAAGGTTGTGTGAAGCCAGGCTCTGTGTTCTCAGAGGCCGGCCTGTGCCTGTGGAGCTGGAGGCGCTGGGTGGCTCTGCAGGAGTGCCGTGGGCCTCTGTTCCACATGGCGTGGATGTGGTGTGCAGTGCTAATTGGCACGTGGCCGACCGTAGAGGGCACAGAAGCCACAACGGGAAAAACGGTTTGGCTCTCTTACATCAACTTGATTTGTCAGCTTTAGACACGACCTACTCTCCCTCCTCCCATGCAAGACCAAGCACTGGCCCCTACCCTCCCTTCACTTCCCTCCCTCTGTCCCTCTTCTTGTTACTTTTACAAAGTCAACTTTTATAATACTTACAATGTACTCTAAAGAGTTTTATTAGTAAATTTACAACTTACTAATAAATTTACATCCCGCTGTAGTCTGAAGAGTCATGTTTTTGTTTTTTTACAAATCAGAGTTCTGTAACATTCACAATATAGTCTGAAGCTATAAGCAAGTCTCTGTGCTTTGTCAATAGGTTGGTTGTAGAAATAGAAATGAAAACATGATGTTGTTATTTATTTTAGAAATAATTAGTCCATTTAGATGCTTAGAGAAGGAAAGCAATACGTTCTAGTAGTTTGCTATTTTCTCTTTTGCTTCTTACTCTTTTAGTTCGATATCAGCTGCTGCTGTTATGATCCAGCACTGGATATACACATATGTGTAGAAAACATCTCTTAACTTTTTTTTTTTAATATGGAATGCTTCACGAATTTGCGTGTCATCCTTGCGCAGGGGACATGCTAATCTTCTCTGTACCGTTCCAATTTTAGTATATGTGCTGCCGAAGTGAGCACAACCTCTCTTAACTTTTTAGTGTATGCTAGTTGATCATTCAAAGAGATGAATGCAACCTTAGCCATGAATCATAACAATGAAGCGAACTCATTTAAGCCCACCCCCAAATTAGGAACCGAAAGATCCTGGGCCATTGTGTGGTTCTCTATTCCAGCTTGCTCCTGGACCCTCCTGCCCGAAGTTTGGGCTTTTCACATTCGTGTGTACCCCTCAACAATGTATGTAGATGGGGGGGCGTTGTAAAAAGGGAATTTTACTATTGATGGTCTTCTGTAACTTGACTTTTTTCACTTCTTATATTGCTAAGATTTATCCTCATTGCCTGTATAGAATTTGTTTTCACTGTTATAACTCATAGTATGAATATACCAGAATTTTAAATCTGTTTTCCTATTGATGAGTGTTCAGGTTTTTTTCTTTTCTTCCTTTTTTTTTTTTTTGCCATCGTGAGCCATGCTGCCCTGAGCATTCTTGAGTGTGACTCGCTACATATGTGCAAGGATCCTATAGAGTGGAAGCCTAAGAGTGGAATATACTGTCCTAGTAGGTTAATGTTTGACTTAAATTGTTTTCTGAAGAGATTATATTAATTTGTTCGAGTCCCATTAATCCACATCTCTATCAGTATTTAATATTACTAGAATTGTTAAGTTTTTTTGCTGGTTTAGTTGGTGTAAAATTGTCTTGCACTGTGTCTCTTTTACTTTCTGTTTTTTAAAATTTTTAAATTATTGGCCTTTTAAACTACCCTGGTTATTAATTTCCTGGTTCTATATGTGGCAAATATCTTCTTCCAACTTGGGGTTTATATCATTTTGTTTGAGGTATTTTTGGTGAATAGGCATTCTCAACTTTAATGTTAAATTTATCAATCTTATAGGTAGAGCTTTTTGCGTCTTGTTGAAGAAAACCTTCCTTGCCCAAAGTCTTACCGAAGGTCTTTCTAATTTTCTTCTAAAAGTTTAGTGTTTTGACCTTCACAAGTTAAAGTCTTTTGTGTCCTGGACGTTGCTTTTCGCGTGTGGTGTGTTGATTGCTCTGCTGTCACTGTTTCTTGGCTGGACACGGAGTTGCCTGGCTTCCCCGCCAGGGCCTGGAGCCGCTCCCGCAGTCAGGCGTCCAGCGTTGGTACCCGCGTGGGTCAGGGGCTGGTCGTCCTCTGTCCCTTTGATCAGTTTGGTCATTCCTGCCTGGACACACCCATGCCACGGCTTCCTGTCAGGTTTTCACGGCTGGTAGGCGGGGTTGACCCCCTCAGGGCCCTGGATCTGTGGATTTGTTGCTCACTCTTTTACCTCTTCAAGTGTTTCTTCCTCTCCCCTCTCCAGTTAGCTGTTCAGTTCTCCCCGTCTTTATCTCTTAACTTCTCGCTCATATTTCTATGTTCTTGTTTCCCTGAGTTGCATTCTGGGTTGTTTATTCACAGATCTACCGATCCTCTAATTTTCTTTTCAGCCGTGACTACCTGCTTGTCTTACTCATTCACTGACATTAAAAATTAACGTCATGGTGAGAATTTACAGACAGTAAAATGTGCTGATGGTCAGTACATAGTTCAGGGAGTGTTGAGATGCTTCCACAGCTGCAGGATCGTGAGCACAGTGGAGTCGGAGAGCATTCCCATCCCCCTCCAAAGCCCCTCTGTGCTCTTTCTGAGTCAGCCCCTGCCCTCCGCACCACTGGCCCCGGTCTGCCGCCGCCCTGCTTTCTGCCCCTCTAGATCAGGCCTGTCTTGGGACTTGCTTCACGCCAACGGACTCCTGCAGGAAGTGTTCTCTGGCCCAGCTCCACGGTACTGAGACCCATCGGAGCCACCGCTGTCTCCCTCTCCCTCCCAGGCAAATACTTCGGGCGAGCGCTGTGTCCTGGGCTGATGGGCAGACTGCTTCCCCGTGTGGGTGTGTGCACGTCCTGTCTTCCTGCCAACACTCTGTGAGTGTTCTAGCTGCTCCCCATCCTGACCGACGCTCTGTGTTTCCACTCTGTGCTCGTGTGTGACCGCTCTGGACAGTTCAACTTGCATTTCCCATGTTATGAAGGGTGGTGAACATTTTTCTCACATGCTTCTTTGTGATTTGTACTCCTTCGGTGAAGTGTCTATTTAAAACCTTTACCCTCTACCCCTTTTAAGAAAAAATCTCTGGTTGTTAGTCTTGTGAATCCTTAGGATTTTCTAGGTATATGGTCCTGTCGTCTGTGAACTGAGACAGCTTTATGCTGTTCTTTCCAGTGTATGTGCCTTTGTGTACTGGCTGTGCCCCCAGGATAGTGCTGAAGAGAAGAGGCTACATGGGCTTCATGGGCTTCCTCACCCTGCTCCTGACCTTGGAAGGCGAGCATCGCTGGCTGTAGGTTCTTCATGTATGCTCTTGAGCAGGAGGAGGATGTTCTCACTTCCTAACTGTTGAGTGTGTTTTCCTGTGGAGGGGTGTTAGATTTTGTCCAGTGCTTTTTTGACATCAATTGATATGGTTGTGTGATTTTTCCTCCTTTTTCTTTTTTCCTTGTTTAGCCTGTTGATATGGTGAATTACATTGACTGATTTCCAAATGTTAAATCAGTCTTTTATTGCTATGATAAACCCCGCTTGGTTGTAGTGAATTCTCCTTTTTACACATTGCCTCGGTGGATTTGTTAACATCTTGTTGAGGATTTTTGTATCTCTGTTCGTGAGAGTTATTGGTCTGCGGTTTCCTTTTCTAGCAATGTTTTTGTCTGGTTTTGGCATCAGGGTGATGCTGGCCTCAAACACGGGCTGGATATGGTTAGCCTGTTTTTATTTCTGGAGGAGTCTGTGTAGTACTGATGTTACTTCCTTCTTAAACATTTGATAGAATTCACCAGTGAAGCCATCTGGGCCTAGAGATCTTTGAGGGAAAGTTTAAATTACAAATTCATTTTCTTTAATGCTGAAGTTTTAAAATTTTAATTTCTAAAAAGCTGGTGATTCTTTCAATATGTAGTTGTTTCTGGGAAACTCTTGTTCTGCTCACTTTTGTGACTCCCATCTTTTGTATTTTAAACATCTACAGAGGCATTTCTGGTATCTGATGTTCTCTTGTGTCTGAATCTGTTTGATTTTTCTGTAGACTCTCACTGAGGGGGGCTTGTTTCCTTGTGTTCGTCATTGGAAGGGAGCATATTTGGTTGGTCTTCCTCTTGGAAACCTGTATTTAGGATGCTTTGCTTCTGGGAAGATTACTTTTGCCTGGGCCCAGGCTGCTGAGTTATCCAGACCATTGTGTTCTCTATCTTATTTTTTTCTAGAACTTTTATCTTTCGTTTTTGAATTCACCTGGAACTAATTTTTGTACATGGCAAGTCACAGGGATGCAACTTCACCCTGGTCTAATTACGCTAATTCTTTTTAAAACTGGCAGCTCACAGCTATTCAGCATTTTGCAGTCCCAGCTTAGGTCCTGGGGTCCTCATGAGAGCGCTGTGACATGTGCCTTATTGTTATTCACATTTTGCATAGAAGGGGGCTGAAGCTGGAAGGCCAGGGGGCTGTCCAGGGCCTCACTGTGCTGGGGAGCACTGTTCATTCCCCCTTTTTTTTTTTTTAAAGATTTTATTTATTTATTTGAGAGAGAGAGAATGAGAGACAGAGAGCACGAGAGGGAAGAGGGTCAGAGGGAGAAGCAGACTCCCTGCTGAGCAGGGAGCCCGATGCGGGACTCAATCCCGGGACTCCAGGATCATGACCTGAGCCGAAGGCAGTCGCTTAACCAACTGAGCCACCCAGGTGCCCCTGTTCATTCCCCTTTGATCTTCACTGTGTGCCAAGCTCCTTAACAGACACAGGTCTGTTTCTGAAGCTGATTATGTTCCATTGTCCTTTTTGTTCTTTTGCTATACCAATCTCCATTTGTGTAGGTCTTTGGCATGTTTTGGTGTTAACATCCTTCCACACTGGTGATAGTGGGGCCTTCAGTTTTCTGTCTGTCTTGGGGACCCCTGCCTCACCATGCTCAGAAGCTGGCAGCTGAGGCGAGCATTGGCCAGGCCCTAACAGCTGAGGGGCCTAGGGCGCGAGCATACTAGAAACCCCATACTGTTATCACCATATGCAGAATTATAAATTGGGCTCACAAACTGTTAACTATGACAGTCGCTGCCCTCCTGTGCTGGTGGTGAATATTCATGATGACCTAAAGCCAGGATAGAACTGGCGGGCTGGGCCTCCTTGGAGTTCCGTGCTGCGATGTGGCCTGGGAGGGTCAGCCCCCCTTTTCTTAACATAGCAGTCCCGTCCTGTGTGGGTGCCCCGGCCTGCTTATTGAAGCTTGGTCTTCTTGCACAGGAAGCTTCTTGGCCAGTCTTTGGGCCTTCGTGTACCCACGAAGGAGCCCTGATGGGGGAAGAAGCCTGTGCGAGTCTCGGAAGTGGGTTCCACATGCTCAGAAGGTGATCGTGGAGAGGGCACCCAGGCTTGGGGTGGGCACATTGCCCTAGTCCCTTGGACTCCTCCATCCAGGCCCCTGGCCCGGGCCTCCAGCACTGTCCGGAAGAAACTGTGAAGGACACATGAGATTTTTCTGTATTTTTTCCCTTAGGACTGCTTGCCAATCTACAAGTATTTAGAAACCACACTGTTAAACCGCAAATCCCTGGTACCAGGCTTACCTCCAGACCCTCTGCCATGGCTTTGCATTGCTCGTTTGTCAGCAGCCCCTTGGATGGTTCTGGGTGCAGCTGGTCAGAACCCCTGGATTCGGGGAAGGCTGGGGCCACTCAGAGGCGCACAGGCCAGCGGGCGCTCGTGGCATCGGGAGCGTTCTTCAGTTTGCGTGGAGCTGTGGTCTTCATGGCCCCTTTGTGCCCTGTTCTATTCTTTCCCCCTGTTTCCCTCTCTCTTCCCATCTCTTCTGCATTTCTCCGAAGGAGCTTCTTTTAGCAGGACTTTGGTCATTGGCCTTGCATTGGAGGTCCTGGCCCATGTGGCAGTGGGGTGTGAGGGAGCCTTTTGGGGCTGAGCTGCACTCAACCTGCCGAAGGATTAGTTGGTTAAACTGCTTTCCTACTATTGTGTTACTGATGCCGATCGGGTCCACTTTGTTTTCTAGTTGACGGTTGCTGCCCTGGCCGGCCGGTTCCCAATGGAGGACGGAGGCTCCCCCGAGAGCCCAGCTGTGTGGACTGCCTCCGAGCCCAGCGAGTCCCTGTCCTCGGCCCACAGACACCTGAGCAGAAGGAATGGGCTTTCGAAGCTCTGCCAGAGCAGGATGGGCCTCTCTGGTAACCCCCTCCTGGGCATTGTGGGCGTCAGTGTTAAAGATGAAAATGACGAGTCATTCTAGGCTTTGATCGGGTTTTCTGTTCTCGCAGATGAGGTGCTCAGTGTGCACTGGCCACAATGCTGGTGGGCCTCTCCCGGGCCGCGTTGTGTTGCTGTGGTTCTTGGGCCTGAGACTTGCCTTGCTGCAGAGCGTGTGCGAGCACAATCCTGGGCCGGGCTGCCGTGCAAGTGAAATACAGTTTGGCTGATCTCGTTCAGTAACTATTTACTGATTGCATGGCAGCCTCATGCTTTCCTCCCGGATGAAGACGAGTTTTGTGGACTCAAGGGCAGCGAGCTTCCCAGTGCGGGAGGTGGTGCCTGGGCTGGGCTGTGATGTCGAGGCACCTGCTGCCCCCTCACTCACTTGTTTCTCCAAGTCAGCTGGTGCCTCTAGAGCTCAGAGGGCTCTTTGTCTGAGGGGGTGCTTAAGGAGACAGCAGGTGTAGGCCTGCAGCTGGGTGGACCTAGAGTGTGGGGAAGTCGGTTAGGACAATGGGAATGTCCACAGCTGGGGGACAGGGGCTGCCGGGGGAAGGTGGAGGAGGGGAACAGTCCCCTACAGGAAGAGGAGGGTTGGAACCCAGCTCACACACCAGCCTGGGAGCACAGGGTGGGAGTGTTTGGAGGGAAACAGATGCTGGGTCCTCCTGGTGAGGACCAGAGATTCTGCGGGGAGGGCTGGGCAGGTCTGTGAGGTAGGCAGCTGTCCTCAGGAGCATGGGCTTCCTGGTCTCTGCATGGGCACCAGCGGCAGAGTCAGGGTTGCAGTGCCTGTCCCATGGTGTGAGGAGGGTCAAGCTGAGCTTGGGGCGGCCAGGGAAGTGGAGGGCCAAGCAGATGGCCACGCAGTTTCCAGGCCCAGAGAACAGTCCAGGGTGGGCCCGTGAACTGAGAAGGGGAAAGGAGGGAAGAGTTGTTTTTGTCTGGATTTTGAGCTGCTAGCAGGATGGAGTTGCCATTTACTGAGATGGGTGGGAAAGGAGGGAGGCAGGGCAGGGGTGTGTGGGGCCGGCAGCACGTTCCTGTGCGGAGTGTATTTGAAGCCAGCAAAGAATGGGTGGCTGGAATGGAGGCTGTGAGCCCGAGTCTGGGCTTCTGCGGTGGTGAGAGGTCAGGGAGGTGGAGGGGAGAGGGAGCCCCGCCAAGGGCAGGTGGTTTAGGAGGCAGGGAGCAACCCCCTGGCCCAGGGCTGGGGTAGGGGGAGTGCTGAGAATTGGCGATGGGGTTGAGCATCTCGGGGGCCACTGGACGTGTTACTGGGAGTAGGTTTTCTGGAGGGGTGGTGAGTGAACCTGACCTGTGAATGAGGGAATGGGGGGAGGGGCCGAGATAGCAGGCAGCTCTTGGATTTGGGCGACTTTCCAGGAATAAATGTAGGGGGGGAGCCGGAGGGGCTGTGGGTCTGTAAGGGCAGACACAGAGAGCACCTCTTGGGGGGGTGGTGGGAAGGGACCTCAGGGAGTGTTTCCACAGAAATGCTGAGCTTGGGCCGTTGTGTCTCCTGTAGGATGTGCTCTGTGGCTGGACAGCACCCAGGGGGACTCGGGGCCGTTCACATGGACACTGGAGGGTGAAGGTTGAACTCTGCAGGTTGATGTGATCCCTGGATCCTTTCGCAGGAGTTGAGAGCAGGGGCTGTGTGCTTTGGTGTGTTCGAGAAGAGCGCTCCTGGCAGCCTTGTGAGGTCTAAAGTTCCTTTTCCTTTTCTTTCCAGAAGACAGATGGAATTCCTACTGTTTGTCGTCACTGGCCGCCCAGAACATCTGCACCAGCAAACTGCACTGCCTGGTGCCACCGGAGCCGCCGGAACTGCCCCGGTCCCTGGGCAGCGCGTCCTGCTGCTCTCTGCTGCGGGGCTTGTCCTCAGGGTTGTCCACGCCCCTGCTCCCCACCCCCGTGTGCAACCCGAACAAGGCCGTGTTCACTGTGGACGCCAAGACCACAGAGGTATTGGCTTCGGCTTGTGACCCTGCTGTGAGTGTGGTCTGTGCCTTTGACCTGTGGCCTCAGACGGAGGAATCTGTGTGTGTGAAGTGCAATTAGGGCAGCACCTGGTTCCCCTACATAGCAAAAGAGACCTGACTATGAATCAAAACATATTGAATCCTCTCGTCAGGGTAGAGATTCGAGGACAGAGATGACCCGCGTGACTCCTCTGTGCTCACGAAGGTGTTGGCTCAACAACCATGAGAACGGGTATCCACCGTCTGAGGTGGCCGTGTTCACATCGTGGGCATTTACATGCAAATAACCGAGATCATTAGGTGGGTGGGGGGTGGTGCGAGTCCTTACCTCCTCTGCGTGCTCCTGGTGACGTGTTGTGCCCATCCTGGCGGGTGACGGAAACGTGGTTTTGGTCGTGGTGCTGGCATTTGGTTTCCCTGTGGTTAAGACCCGGAGGTGCCAAGGGCGTCGTGGCTGTGAGCCCGCCAACCGCAGGACGCTGGGGGAGCACGGGTTAGAGCGTCCTCCCTGCGACCCCCAGATCCTGGTTGCCAACGACAAGGCTTGCCAGCTCCTGGGGCACAGCAGCCATGACCTGATCGGCCAGAAGCTCATGCAGTTCTTCCTGAAGCCCGATTCCGACGTGGTGAAGGCCCTCAGTGAAGAGCACGTGGAGGCCGACGGCCGTGCCGCTGTCGTGTTCGGCACAGTAGTGAGTGCGCCTTCCCGGGGTATGCCGCTGGGGGCCTGCCGCAAATACGGCCGGTCACTGGTCACCATGGCCGCCGTGCTCCCTCGGTGCTGGTGTGGGGAGCAGCTGGGGTGGCGGGCAGAGCGTCCCAGGAGCGGAAGGGGGGGCTGCGGGCCTGGCGTGAGGGGCGGCCCCGCCTGCGAGGGAGGAAGCTCGGGCGGCGGTTTGCAAACCGGCAGGATGCCACGGGGAGTGCCATGATCTTACTGGCTGCACCCCTGACTCTCCAGTGCTGTTTGTTTGGTGTTCGTTGGCGGGGCTGGCGCGGCTGGAAAGGTCTCCCTGGGGCGTTGGGCCTCCCTGTGTGATGTGTCAGCTGGGATGTTGATGGGTTAAACTGCATGTGAGATGGTGAGCCCTCAGCCCAGTCCCCGAGGGACGTTAGATGTGGTCCGCCACTCTGTCCTGGGGACTGTCCACGTGGCTGACGATTGTGAAGAAGAAAACTGACTGTTCAGCGCGTATTGGCGTCTGTTCCCTGAGGAAGCGCACGGGCGGCTCTGCTCCCGCTCTGTTGCCAGGAAGCTGACGAGAAAACCCTCTCTTCTGAGAGAGCGTCCACTCAGACTAAGGCTCGGTGTCAGGCTCAGATGTGGGCAGGGGAGGAGAGGTTGCAGGTGCCCCCGGGCCGGGGTCTGGGGAAGGCCAGGGGCAAGGCTGTGCGTCCCCACAGGTAGACGTGGTGAGCCGCAGCGGGGAGAAGATCCCCGTTTCTGTGTGGATGAAGAAGGTGAAGCAGGAGCATAGCTTGTGCCGTGTGGTCGTGCTGGAGCCTGTGGAGCGGGTGTCCGCCTGGGTCGCTTTCCAGGGCGATGTGAGTGTGCCTTCCGCATCCCAGCCGCGTGGGGCTTACCATGCGTCGCCTCTCCGGGCCTCAGCCGCCGCTGGGGCCCGCCGTGTGCCCCTGGGGCTCATGGAGGGTCGGCCCCGTGGCACCCCTCCCTCTCTGTGTGCCTTCGGCAAGTGCAGTCTCCCTGGGCCTCGGTCTCCTCCTCTGTAGAAGGGGGGTGTAACTGGGACCTAGGATTGTCTTAGCACGTCAGTGAGGTAGCGTCTGCCGAGCCATCAGAATGGTGGCTGGCACGCAGGGCTCGAATGCCACCTGGGCCTGGGCTGGCCATGCCGGGCGTCTGCAGAATGCTTCCAGAGGTCGATAATTTGGGTGCATCTGGCAGCAGGAGAATGAGGACCTGAGGAATGTTCATGCCCACCTCGTGCTCTCCTGCTGTAGGAGCGCTGCTAACAGTCTTGCTTTCAATCTGGAGGCTTGGTGTTCCGTGATGTTTGAAGCCGAAGTGCCAGAAGTTTTTACCGTGATGCTTAACAATGCCGGTTTTTCCTCCAAGGGAACCATAACATCCTGTGACAGCCTGTTTGCTCTCCTGCATGGGTACGCATCTGGGGAGGAGATGCTCGGGCAGCACATCGCAGACCTGATCCCTTCTGTGCAGCTCCCCCCCCGCGGCGAGCCTGTTCCACAGGTAGGACCCTGTGGACCCCTAACCGCCACACCTTGCAGCTGTACCTGGGGCCATGTGGCCCCTGGAGTCTGTTTACTCAGGGACCATAGGGTTCTTAGACTGGAATCCATGGCCTGGGGACACAGGCTGGTGATTCTGACAGCAGGAGTGTCCTGCGTGTGCACACAGTGGCACCAGGTCTGCTGACTGCTCTCTGGGCTCCAAAGCCTTGACTGAGGATCAGAGCCTGTGCGGCTCTCCAATGGGCCACCCTGTCTCCTCGGTCCTCCCACTGGAGCCTGGAGCGGGGATTGCCTGCTGGGGTCTCTCTTTACTGGGAGGTCTGGGGTTCTTGAGGAGCAGGGAGAACTGGCTGAGGGCAGGATGGCAGGCAAATGGGGGGGCAGCAGCTCTGGGGACAGTGGAGGTTTGGGGTTGGGGGAGAGAGGTTCTGTTACCGACTGAATCCTCCCGGTTCCCAGGTGCCCCATTTCCTACTAGCGTGCGGCCTTCACACAAATGACCCTCATTTGTGGTGAATTCTACTATGTCGCAGCCCAGTGTCACTTGTTTTTTGCCTAAAGTCACCTCTGCTGCTGCAAGGAATCTGAGATGCTTTCAGGATGTCTGTAGGCACTCCCTGCTTGTCTGGCCAGCTGGAGGCTTGGAGCTGAGCCCTCTGAGCTGGGTCTCTGCTATTTTTAAGCTTCCAGCTTGATTGGAGCCCTCACCCCACCGCCAGTCCTTATTGTCTCTGTGTCTTTTTTTCTGTCCCCAAGCTGGTGGGAACATCCATCGGCTCAGCCACCTTGGAGCCTGTGGCAGCATCTGCTCCACGTGACCACGGGCCAACCTCAGACCCCCCTGGGCACGCATTGGAGAGAAGTGTGTGCCAGAAGGCACGTGTGGGCTTGTTCTCAGCAGCACATTTGTGATAGCCTCAAACGGGAGCCCCCGACACCCCAGCAGCAAGCAGAGACTGGCGGTGCACCCCTCATTCCTTATAGGGCCCCCTGGGACCTGGAGCCTGGCCTGCAGCCTTGGCATGGGGAGCCTGGTGTCTCTGAGTCCGAGCCTGTTCAGGGCGCAGCGCTGGGGGAGTGGAAGCTCCCCTGCATTCCAGGCCATGCCCACAACTTGGGCTCCCTCAGATCTCCTGCTTCCCAGGGTGGACCCTAAAAAGGGCAGGTGGGATTGGGTGAGGGGTAGACACACAACCCTGGGCTGGTGTGCCGTCTGGAGACCCAAAAGGGAGCACACTCTCAAAGCCTTTGGTTAGGATGTGGCCTTGGTCAAGATTTACTCAAAACTGGATACATTCCAAGTATTTAAGGCATGGAAACAGGGCAAAGATGTGGTTTTTGGGTGATAGAGGTGCTGAGGAGGCACAGATGAAGGACGGTCAGCAACAGCCGGAAGTGGCTGGCCCTCAGGCTGGAGGACAGAGTGAGTGTTGGGGGACATCCGTAGGCGTGGGACCCTGGGGCTACTGGGGGTCCAAGGCGGACGGTGGGGAGAAACCTGTCCGCCCTCCGTCCCTGCAGGGTTGGCACAGACATGAGTCCAGTCCTTGCGCGTTTCTTGGTTGCCCTGGTGTGTGCTGTCCTCAGGCCTTTCTGGAGTGGGGGGCAGCTGCTAGACTGATGCCCTCGCCACCAGACACATCTCCTGGTCAGGGCTCTGCTTTCCCTGGGGCAGAGGTGGGGTGCAGGGAGATTGGGGAAGGAAGAGCAGTGTGGGGAGTGAGGTGTTCTGGGCTTGCTCCCCATGACGCGTGGATGGGTTCAAGTCTAGAGCTGCAAAGACTCAAAGCTTGGGCCATGTGAGATGCTGCTGTCAGCTCGGTGGTGTGTTTTTTTCCAGAATCTCAAGATTCAGAGGTCTGTTGGGAGAGCCAAGGATGGTACCACTTTCCCTCTGAGCTTAAAACTGAAATCTGAGTCCAGTAGCGAGATGGTGGAAGACAGCAGTGCAGTCCCCGAGCTGGGTTACTCGGCATCCATCTGGGTATTCTCCACCATCAGCGGCCTCATCACCCTCCTGCCCGACGGGACCATCTACGGCATCAACCACAGCTTTGCACTGATGCTGTTCGGTTACGGGAAGACGGAGCTTCTGGGCAAGGTGGGCCCTCCCTGGGTGGTCAGCCTGCCCTCCCCTGCAGGGGCCCGGTCCACTTTCAGTGAGGACGTGTGCTTGTCACAGGCCTTGTACCTCCATGTCTACTAGTCGGGCCCACTGGCTTTCCCGGGGCATGCTGGGCACCATTCTCCCTAGCAGCTCTCATTTCTCTGGACCCCACACTGAGCACTTAGTGACCCCTGGGACTGTCTCCAGAGCCTTGTCTCCACATGCTGTCCCTGGAGAGGGAGGGGCTGTTGCCTCGAAACCTGTCCTGAACGAGGTCTGGTCTAAGTTATCAGACAAGGGTGTATGTCACAGCTGTGTGCCCGGAGGTCAGGGTTGTCCACACCTCCTCTGCCCTGGGGGCCACACTGGGGGGCCTGTCGTGGGGTCAGGGTCAGAAGAAGATGTGTCTATAAACTTCTTCCTTGGCTTGAGCTTTCTCTGAATTTCTTGAACGCGGGGTGGAGGTCTCTGCACAGCGGGAGCCAGGCCTGTCAGGGATGTCCACTGCCCCATTTTCATCTGCGGCTGTGCTCAGCAGTCTGTATCTGTTGCTGCAAACCACCATAAGCTTGGGGCCTCAGACATGACAATCTGGTATTTAGGTCACAAATTGGCCCTCCGGGCTGCGCTTAGCAGGACGAGTCATTGTGCTCCATGTGGAGTCAGCTGGGGCTGGTGTCCTCCTAAGATGCATCTGCTCATGTGTCTGGCCGGCTGGGCCTGTGGCTGGGGCTGGTGTCACTTGATGGCTGAGCTCCAAGGGGAGGTGAGCGTCTCAGGCAGCCGTGGCATGCTCCTCCTCAGATGGTCCTGGGGTCCTCCTGGGTCCTGGGAAGGGGACATGGGCCCCCTACTCAGTGGCAGGAGGGTCCCAGGGGAATGAGAGGCTGCTGAGTGGGGTTTTGATGTCTAGCGGTCCCCGTATCTGTGCACCTGGCCGGTCTGCCTCTTGGATGCCTGCAGCCTTTCCCTGAACACCTTGTTCTCCCGGATTTCTGCAAACGGAGGGTGGGAGTCCCCTCTTGTCATTCTCAGTGGGGTCGACCCCAGACCTAGTGACAGTCAGCCATCTTTTGAGGCTCCAAAAATGGGTCCCTCTCTGTTTCCTAATAGAAATACTAAGGAACAAGTAAGCTAAAATTTAGTTAACTGAAGGCAAACTCAGTTTGAAGTTAATGAAAACACACTTAGTGTGATTTTTGGACAAGTGATTGCCTCAACAAGGAATGTTGAGGGCATTGGGTCCTTTTAGGGAGTGTGTGGGGGGTGGAAGCACCCTGCCTCTGAGGTTAGACTGTGTTCCGGATTCACACGGCTGCGGGCACCCCTCTGGGAATAGGGATGGCACATGGGTTCAGAGAAAGCGTGTGTCCTTGCAGCTTTGGGCCTGGGACCCTTGTGCTGAGGCCACGGCCAGCACAGCAAAGGCACCTGCTGGAACCCAGGGGCCAATTTCATGTGCCCAAGGCCCTTTTGTCCCTATGCTGGGCCCCCATCACTCTCTGCTAGCCACGTAAGGTGGAGTTTGCAGACGTGGCTTTCAGGCGTCAGGGCAACATGGGGCAAAGGCCAGACATCTGCTTGGAAGACACGGAAGTGTTGGTATAACTAGCTTCAGAGTTGTTGATTTTGTCTTTTTCATAAGAAAAAGTGGGAAAAATCATGAATTCCCTGTGGGGTGTCAGAGGGGCTTTGTGGGTCTGTGAAGAGGAATATAGCCTGGAGTCTTTCCTAGCCTTGTCCAGAGACTTGCTCACTTGTTTTCATTCCCTCCCCAGGTTAGATGGGGGGATGGGCCTGTGGTCCAGGTTCTGAAATGTCACTTTGTTTTCTAGAACATCACTTTCCTGATTCCCGGCTTCTACCACTACATGGGCCTTGCGTGTGACACTTCTTTACCGCTGCCAGACCTGGCCAACTGCTTGGATATCGGCAACCAGAGTGAGCCTGGGGAGACAAGCGTGGGCCCCTGGCAGGGCCGGAACCCAGCCGGCGTGGCCACGGGTAAGCCCAGCCTCCCTCTTGCGGGTGCACACAGCTCCACGCCTCTGAGGGAGCTGGGGAGGGGTTCGGGGCACGGGCGTGCTGGGCGGGGTGGAGAGTGGAAGCGAGTGGCGGCTAGGCTATCGTGGGTTGGATGTCCTCTGTCGCTCGTGGGCCTTCCGTGTTCCCAGGGGATGGGACACATATGCGAGCATAGAGAGCATCCCTGGGGATTTCTCATCACCATGTGCCTGGGTCTAGGACAGAGGTAGCTTATGGGCAGAGTCTTTGACAGGTAGATCTGTGGAGCCGAATGTAGCCTGTCAGAGTACCCCTAAGTTAAGTAGTCCTTGCCATACCTGCTCGTTATGATTGGCCCCTATACTTTTAATTTAGCATTCCATGGTGCTTTAAGTCCCCACGACAGGAACATCGTAGGGGAGAGTGTGTGGGTGCACAGCTCCTGCCCTGAAGGGTCCCACTGTGGCTTTGGGGCTCCTGGGAGCATAGGACCTCAGAGCCACTACCTGTGCTCCTGGGAAGGCACTGGGGCTTCCTGGGAGCATAGGACCTCAGAGCCACTACCTATGCTCCTGGGAAGGCACTGGGGCCTCCTGGCAGCCCCCTTGGTGCTCACCTTTCCGTGGACAAGGAGCCAGGAGGAGCTGCTCCCTGGTTCTGCCTCAGGAGCACTCCCAGCTTGCAGGGCCCCTCTCTGCCAGCGCCTTCTCCCTGGGCCACGCCCTCGCTGCACACCCAGCCAGGCCGACGGGTGCCATCCCCCTGGGAGGGGACGCAGGAAATGAAACAGGGCTGCTGGGGAGCATCAGGCGATCGCGTGTCTCCAGGAGGCTCACCCGTGGCCCTGTTGGAGGCCGCCGCACGGGGCAGGCTTGGGGTGCCCCTGGAACACATTGCTTACGTGCTGTCACCGCAGGACAGACTTGCTGTTTGAATGAACACACACGTGGGTGTAATACAGTCCCTGAGGGGGAAGAGGGGCCATGCAGTGTCTGATCTGTTGCTGGACGGTGCTCAGTTTTCTGGGCTCTGTGGGAGATTTCTTTGGCACGGGGCCCCACACCCAAGGCTGGGGAGGGTGGCCATGCTCCATGGGTCGCTTTTGAGGCATCAGAGGTTAGACTGCAACATTCTGTTTTATTAAATTAACTTTTTTCCCCAAAGATTTTATTTATTTGAGAGAGGAGAGAGTGAGAGCATGAGCAGGGGGAGGGGCAGCGAGGCAAGCCGACTCCCCGCTGAGTAGGGAGCCCGCTTGGGGGCTTGATTCCAGGACCCTGAGGCACACAGGGATAGGCTGGAAGGTGGCCAGCGTTCAGGAGGAAGAGCAGAGCAGGGGCAGGGTGTGCCGTCTAGGGCCCAGGGGCCTGGGAGGGCCCCTTGGGAAGGTGGCTTTTAGTGAAGACCAGAGGAGGCAGGAGCAGCATTCTGGGGACAGGGAGGAGGTCCAGGTGTGGCAGGGAGACCAGAGGGCCAGGCCAGTGGGAGTCACGGTAGGGACACTGGTGTTTACTTGGAGCTCGCGGCCGACGAATGGACCGCCCCAGCTCCGGTATTGGTGGGACCCTGCCGGCCGAAGGCAGGGCCCAGGCATGGCAGCAGGGGCACGGCGCACTGCAGGGTGGCGAGAGGCCATTGGTCTGTGACACGCCGCAGACATGGGCTTGCCGGAGTTTCTAAGGTCAGGTCGGGGGCCCCCCATTGCTCACGAGTCACGGGTAGGGGAGGAGACTCGTTCAGCAGGTATGCTACAGATGGGCACAGTCTCTTCTGCTGTTGCCGCTAGATCCAAGGGCTAACGGCGCGCTTGTTGGAGACCACGTTCTTCCACGAGGGGAGACCCGAGAGCCAGTGGGAAGCCAAGAAGCCTTCGCTGGGACCCAGGCCCAAGCAGACCCTGGAGGCGGCCTCTCTTCCTCCCTCCCGCGTCTGCCCACTCCAGGGTAAGTCCTCTGTGGGAGGCGCAGGGTGTTGAGGGTGAAGGCCGGTGGGGGGCCGTGAAGGAGCCCGTGGCGGTGGCGCCCACAGCTCACAACCCCCAAACACCCGCTGGGTGCCACTTCTGCATTCTCTGGCGTGGTGCGCAGCAGTCGCCAGGAGACCTTCCTGGTCCATGGGTGAGAGAAAGTGGGTAGGTTCCAGGAAACCGTTAGAAGCCTAGTGTTCTCATTGTAAAAATCAGTTGTATCTGTTCTCTCTGTGCATTTTTGAATCACAAGGTATTCTATCCAGAGTAGAGCAGGTTCACGTTAGAAAATGTGGAAAATGTAGGTGAGCAGAAATAGAAGCTTATTGCTCATCCCTGATTAGGTAATCCTAGCCCATGGTGTGCAGCATTTTGGTGGTTTTCAACTAGTTTTCTCTTTTAAAAATCTCTGATGCCCAGCACACGCTAACCTGCCATGGTCCTTTTCGCTTGTGCCCTCACTGCCCTGGGGTAGGACGGAGGTCACAGGTATCTGTCCTTGAACTTGACCTAGGCCATCCCTTATTTCTGGTTCCTTTTGATCATTGTTTTGTTGGTGAGATTTATCCACATTGTTGTTTTTCAGTTTTCTTGAAATTATTTAAAAAATCTACAATAGCTGTGGTTTTTTTTAAGGACAGGAGAGTAACAGTGAAAAGTGGAAGTCCCCGTGCCTGGCTCCCCAGAGGGAGACCCCCCGCCCCTGCCCCGCCCCGATCGAAGGCCGTACCCCCGTGTCGGAGCGCGTGTGTGCAGCTGCTTTTGCTCCTGCCGTGCACGAAGGATCACACGGTGCACGCTGCCCTGAATGCGCCTTACCTCTTGTCTTGCGCGTGACTCATGGGGTTACGTGGATATCTGCCCGCTGACCCGCAGTACGGTGCTTTCCTGCCATTTGCGTGGACTCCCTGGTTTTCTGCTCCTTGCCGGTGACGAGCTCTCTGTCTCTCTGTGCTGCGTGCTCCTGGGTCCGACCCCCCGCACCCCGCCCCAAGGGTCCTCACTGCTGCGAGGATGGGGAACCAGAGGAGCCCATTCCTGCCTTCCCCTCAGGTGGGGCTGCGCTCAAGTTCTAGCGCCAGCTCCACGTCCCCGTCGGAGGCAATGGCCGCTGCAGTCGCTCATTCATTCATTCCTTCCCTCCCTCACCCCTTCCCTCCCTCACTCCCTCCCTCCCTCACCCC